CGATGACGAGGAACCCACTTTGAGACTAATAATGGCTGGAGACGACTTGAATGGGTAATGAAGAAAAACTTTAATACAACAGCAAATGTACAACGTTTCGACAAGGTTTTGTCGATGTATGTGTACCTGATGATGACAAAACCTTGTCGAAACGTTGTACATTTGCTGTTGTATTAAAGTTTTTCTTCATTACCCATTCAAGCCGTCTCCAGCCATTAATAGTTTTGAAACGTTATCAAATTATCTCTGTATTTTTGTTTGTTGTCGAATTTCGCGCAAAACTACTCGAGAGCTATTTGCGCCAGCCTTCCCTAATTCAGAAGTGAGAGATTAGAGGGAAGACAAGCATTCAACACCGCCCATCGCTAACTCTTGGGATACTCTAATCGAACAGTGGTATTGAGCATTACATTATAACGCTCCATCGGCTGAAAGAGCGAGCATGCTCGGTGATGGGATTCAAGCCCGCGACACGCAGATTACCATTAGGCATCTCTATTTTTTTGTGATTGCTTCAAACGTGTTCTGTGATAGTTTGAGATAGTGGAAAATAGGCAAACAAATACTAATACTTGTAAGGGTTTTGTAAAAGATTTTGTTTGTTTGTTTGTAATTAAGCACAAAGCTACACGATGGGCGATCTGTGCTCTGCCCACCACGGGTTGTACGTCCGCAGACATACCGCTGTGCGACTGGGGGACATTGGAAGAGATCAGTACTTCAATACCAGTTTATTGTATATAATGACTATTTACATGGCGGAAAACAGGCATACAGAAATACCAGCACGTGAAGATCTTTGGTATATATATATATATCTGACTGAAACAACGCCAACTATTATAAACATTCTGATAAAACACAAGAATATTTATATATATTAACCCAAAAGTCGGGACATTTTCAAGAACATTTTTTACCCTTTTCTTATTGATTTTCTCGTGTATTCATAATTCCAAACGTTCCCAGGAAAAAAAATAAAAAATAAAAAATAACAGTTATTCAAATACTATCATTGAGTGTTTATATTTATACACAAGCCCGGCATGGCCAGGTGGACAAGGCGCTCGACTCACAATCTGAGGGTCGCGGGTTCGAATCCGCATCCCACCAAACATGCTCGCCCTTTCAGCCGTGGGGGCGTTATAATGTGACGGTCAATCCCACTATTCGTTGGTAAAAGAGTAGCCCAAGAGTTGGCGGTAGGTGGTGTCGACTAGTCAGATTTCCTCTAGTCTATCACTTCAAAACTAGAAACGGTTAGCACAGGTAGCGCTAGAGTAGCTTTGCACGAAATTCAACAAACAAAGAAAACATTACTGTTCATCTACATCATATTGATTGTTTTGATTTCGCCTTAATTTAAAATAAATAAAGCATAATTTTAATCATAAAGTAATTTATAAATTAATGCAAGCAGAAACATAGACTCAAATATGTTTCTACTTAGATCCTTAATAAATTAATGAAGAAAAGTTAAATTACCCTGTTTTTTCGTCCAAAACGGTTAAGACAAAATTCCTCATTTATATAATTTTCAAATAATAATAATAAATAAGGATTGTTAAAAACACCCTAACGTCTACGTATCTGTACATGTGTATACAGACATCCAAATAGATAGAAATAGAGAAAGAAACATTTGTTTTTTATTTTTTAGATATGGATACACGTATAAAATTTAAGTTTGTTTTAAGATAAAGCCTCACCATAATGTTTTTCTTCATATGTATGTATATGAATATGATAAAACAATGAAACAATATAATATTTATACAATTTCATATACGAAACCACTGTATAAACATGTATCATGCTCTACGCATTACGAATACTTGATTGGAAGGCTTTAAGTGGCTTTGTTTCAGATAACCATGCCTTTAGCTATACACTAAAGTAAGAGACGAACCCTCACATCCACTCAATACAATAAAAGAGCGTTTTAATAAAATCACTTTTAACCTAGAGCCTGGCATGGCCTAGTGGTTAAGGCTCTCTGCTCCCAATCTCAGAGTGGTCGCTCCTCCTATACGGTTACCGACTGGGCCACCAGAATAAACGGCTGACCCCCACTAATTGGGATTAAAGTCGTAACGCAGAAAAACAACAACAACAACAACTTCTAACCTAATCGTTTAACACAGGTATTCTTCACTAGAAGCTAAAATGATCATCGATGTATGAAGCTATAGATATTTTCTGAGATATGAGATATACTATTTTATAACATTAAATTTACAATCACCTAACATCCATTATTCACTGATTCTTCTAAGAGTATCTATGATGCATGCCTAATGAAAAATATGATAAATTGTTTATATGATTCAAAACTTTAACGTATGATCAATATATATTATATAGTTTTCATATAAACCAAGTCGGGGGTTAAACCTAAAATGTGGACAGCGCAATTAGAGGAGAAACCTTAGATAAAAAGTTGAACTCCCCCCCCCCCTTCCTTCTCTAATCATAAACTCGGGTAAGTTTTTCATCTGACTTAATGTAAGATATAAAAATACACTTTTTAATAATTCCCATCTAGATGTAGAAATCCGATCTTCTTTTATTTTTCATCACTCTAATCCTTCCTGGCTTTCTACGCAGTTAAGTAATAAAATAACATCTACGCTGAGGTCCTTAGCGGATTTTACTTACTAATCACCTTATATATAATTTTTTTTCCTTCACTTGAAAAACTCATAAAACTAAGCAACTCAGAAACAGTAACATAAGTATTTACGGATTTCACTCGCTAGTCATTAAAATATTTTACTCACCCAAGAGAATAATACGAGGAAGAAAAATTTAGTCCCAGTTAAGCCTCTCAAAGATTAATTTGGATTTCACTTGCTGGTACCAAGACAAAACCTAAGACTAAGAAGGGATTACATTGAATCACCATATGTAAAACTGTTTTCCATTAATAGTTGTAAAATATTGACCTATGTGAGTAATGCCTATACAAATATGGACATTATTATATATATACAAGCGTCTCAAATCTTAAATGATGTACTGGGAAAGCGATTTAATTAAACCCTAACTTCATGTCTAACTTCAATGACAATATATATAATAGAATATCAGGGGTCCCTGTCTTAACATTGTTTGTATAGTTATATAAAATGCGTATTGTTCAGAGAATAATGATATTCAAGGGATGCAGACATTTTTGCGTTAAGGATTGTCCAACTGCATGTCCAGAAATGACTCTTTCAACGTTTAAATACATTTTTATGAACATGTATTTTCATCCATAGTCTATTATTGCGTTTGGTTTTTAGTTATGTATATGTTAAATGTTTTAGCACAAAAATAAAAAAATACAATAATTACAATGTTCAGAACAAGAACTTCCATTTAATATCTAAGACAAATCCATTGACGCTATCTACCGTTGTTTCAAATTTTGAACTATTGACCACTGGTAGGGCAGCTAGTCAGCAACATCCTACAACCCACCACCTACGCTAAGGGATTGACATTCACTCTCATAATGCACTCACAGCTTAAAGAGGGGAAATATTTTGGTTATCACACGGATTCAAACCCGGAATCAGAGCTTTACCTGCGCCTTTCTGTAAAAAAAAAGTCAATAAATAAAATATATTAAAATTAGTAAAAAGTCGAATATTTTATTAATTTTTTTCTTCAGTTTTTTATAATATTCTTCACCATGACTCGTTTTAGTTATTCTTATCGATTTAACTTATACATTAGACTGCTTCTAAATATCTGAGAAAGTACTGGGGAAATTAAATAAAAGGGTAATGTACCATCTTTTTTAAGCATGGGGAAAGTCTCTTCGAAACTTATAAATAAAAAAAAAATAAATGTCATGAGTGTATATTCAGCCTACCGAATATATCACAAAATTCATGTGGTGGCTATAATATCCCAATTTTGAAACATGAAGAACGAACGTTTACGTGTGCTGCAGTTTGCTCTTCAAAACACATAACTATACAGGAAAAGTTAATATTATGAGTGTATACTCACCCTGCCCAATATACCACGTAATCCATGTGGTGGTTACTATATCAAATCTCCTTTGAAACATGAAGAACGAACGTTAACTTGCTCTGCAGTTTGCACATGACAAGTAATGTGAAAGTCGTCTTCAGGCAACATTCGGCAGAACAGATAACTTGAAGATGATATTGAGAATAAGAAGAAAAGTGTCTACATTCCGCTTGAACATAGCTGTTTCCCCAGCAAGAGACTTACCAGGAAGGCCACGTAGAATCCCAGGACTAGAGTCAAAGTTGTTTGTTTACGTTGTGAAAGCGTGAATAATTCCCAAGAGCTATTAGCTCTATTGTCTCTGTTTAGCACGAGGCGCTTCATGTTCCACCAATCATTCTATCTCTCCGAGCTGGATTGCAACGAGCTAAACGTCTTTATGCTCTTATGCAGAATAGATCCAGTTTCTATAATATTCATATAACGCGTTTTTGGAAACAAATGAAACAAAAGATAGCTTCACTGGCAAAACTGATATATTCATAACTTATTGCATAAAACTCATAAAAGCTGTTTTTCTTTCAACAGAAAGTGTAATATATCATTCTAGTGTAACATTAATTTTATCTGATTACGTAATTATTCCACTACAAAACAAATGTTTGATACTTCAGGAACTAAATATTAAACATATCTGTTAACAGATCCATCAGGTCAAAATCAAACATATCTTCCAACTTTTTATAACCAACTCTGTGAAGTGATTCCTAAAGCGTATTTATATGTGTTTGTATATGTTATCGATTATGGAAAAAACACAAAAACATACGCTTTATGTTTTTCACTTAATGCCTATAATACTTCTGTTGTAACGTGTATTTAAAAGGATTAAAGTTTATAAAACAAAACAACAAAAAAAAAACAAAAAAAAAAACGGTATGTCTTGGAATTTTCTTTCATTTAAATTTGAGAGAAGTTTTATGGCAGTTAAACCTTATCATTTCCTGTGTGCATTTTGTGAAGCCGATGGTGGAATGTAATAAACTTTTCTACAGTATTGTCTGTAAGAGAATAGTGAATGTTCTTCTTTATTGTGTACTGGTGAAGGACTAGTGATATTTATTCTTCTGATGTGAGCTAAGAAATCACATTTCATTAGTTTAACTGATGTAACATTGTTCTTATTTGACAAGCTACTTAAATTTAAGGAGCTATGAAGAACGTATCCATATTACTGGAAAACGGAAAACAAACACAAAGCTTTTGAAAGAATAATATTCTTTACTCAACCAAGAGAATAATGTAAAGGAGATAAATATTATTCTAAATTAAGCCTCTCAAAATTTATTTTGGATTTTACTTTTTGGCATCTAATTTTACTCACGTAGCCGGAAATCTAAGTCTGGGAAAGGATTACATTGAATTGGCACATATATAATAATCTACAAATCAGGGTTATGCATTTAGCATGTGTTTATTTGTTGTTTTTTACTGTTAAGCACAATACTACAAAATGGGCTATCTGTGGTGTGCACACTACGGGTATCGAAACCCGGTTTGTAGCGCTATAAGCCTTATGATTAACTACTAGGTCACTGGGGGGCATTAACATTTAATGAGGTCATTAGAGATTTAATAACAAAAGAAAGAAGAAAGGGGGGACATTATCTACATTATCTACCATCGGCCATTATACAATTTTTATTTCCTTGACAGGTACCCCCAGTTTGTAATCTAACTATAATGATAATCCACTTTTGTGTGCATGTGTTGTGACGGATTTGTTATTATATATTTATTTTAATATCGACGTTTGTTTAGATTAAATTTATATTTAGAAACATACATAGCTTATACTGTTAAATATGTATCGCGAAACCCTGCCTATTCTTCAAAGTTGTAGAAGATTCTCGAGAGTAAGAATCAACAATATATTTGTGTGTACGTAAACGCCTATAAATATAATCATCGCGACGCGCCAAAACAGTATCTGTTATTAGTTTGCTATAGTCAGTGTGCTATAAACTTCGAAAACTATAACTGTGATTGTTATA